AACGGAGATGAGCACCGCCCCCTAGAGTCGGGAATGACTAGCACATCTGTGCGAGGGGAACCTTTACCTAATGATGGATTGCAGCAGCCCGCGATTGTCTGCAGTCTTCTGCCACTTTCTACAGATTGCAATACCTTTCAACGGCCGCGGTCCATCACAAAGGCTTGAGGGCAAGAACGGTTCACCTCTTGGCAGCAACAAATAAGTGTCCTCCTTCCTGTCTGCCACCGAGGAGGCTCGAGAGGGTGTGAAACTTGACCGAGCTGCCTTGACTCAGTACTTGGGCAGGGACGGGAATTCCATCGCCCGACTGGAACATGTTTTCTATTAGCACAGATTTTTCCCGCAGGAGCCTCCAGTTGACCCAGGGACTTCAGTGCGTCCCTTCGGGTCCGGTGGCCGAGGGACAGAACTGCTTGAGTCCCTCCTCTGCCTCGGGCTGTAAATAAACTTTTGCTAGAAGAAAAAGCCTGTTGCTTGACCTTTTTGTTTTAGCAAAAGGAAACCTTGCAGTTATGAAAACTACCCGTTGCCGTTAATAAATTGAAAGGCGGATTTAAAAAAATAATAATAATTAAAAATCAGCTTTCCACAGACAGAGATGCTTCTGTTGGAAGGCGATCCGGAGAGTTTGCTGTGGGAGCAAACACAGCTAATATTGAGGGGCTCAAACTGCTGGCTTTTCCATTTTGGGTTCCTGTGAATTTCAAAGCCTGAAAGGACCTATTGCTTACGACAGAGGCGTCCTTCATGGTGGGTGCAGCTTAGGAGGGGGCGAGAAAGCAGAGAGCCCGAGGGAGCGGCCTAATTTTCCCTTATCCCCCCAGGCAGCTTGACCACAGGGCTCTCTGGGAGACCCACCCTTTTCCTCCAAGATAATTCTGCCACAGTATTTACGCCTAGGCCCTCCACAAATGTCCTCATTGGGGTTTGAAGCCCGCTTTTGTCTCCTCGGATTAATGTCAGCATCTGCTTCAGTTTAACTCTCCGTCTGCAACTCCCTTTGGCCTTGGATGGCTCTCGGTTGTTACCCTGCAAAGCAGAGACCGTTTCACTTAGACTAGGGGGAAAAAAGCGTTTCTCGGCTCCATTAAGAGAGAGGTGGACTTCAGCTCCCAGAATTCTCCATGCCGGCTAGGGAATTCTGGGAGTTGAAGTCCTCAGGCTGAGAAACATTGAGGGCTAGCAGGAGTCTCCAAGCTTGGCAACTTTTAAGACTTGTGGACTTCAACTCCCAGGATTCCTCAGCCGGCAGTGGGAATTCTGGGAGTTGAAGTCCTCAGGTTGAGAAACATTGAGGGCTAGCAGGAGTCTCCCAGCTTGGCAACTTTTTAAGACTTGTGGACTTCAACTCCCAGGATTCCTCAGCCGGCAGGGGGAATTCTGGGAGTTGAAGTCCACATCTCTTGTAGCTGGCGTCCAGGGCGGGTTGAGGAATTCTAGAAGTCCACAAGCCTTAACGCTGTCAAGTTTGGAGAGCCCTGGGCTAGAGGAGCTGATGTCAAGAGAGCAGGAGGTGGTCTTATCTGTAACACCCAAGAATCATTTCTTCGGTGGGCAAGATCCGGTAGAGTAGTCCCCTCAAGTCTGAGGAGGCCTCTTAATGGATTTTGCTTTGTTCCTGGAGCTTCTGATGGGCTTCCTTGCCATGAGAAATTCACCTGGGGACAGGAGTGGTTGCTTGTAGGCAGCTGATTCTCATCTTGAAGTCTGATCAAAGGTGGTTTTGTGCCGGCTCCCAAGCCTTGCACACCAATAGTATCTTGAGTTGTCCCCGCTTCGGTGCTTCCACTGATCTCGACACGTTCAGAGGTTTTCTTGGTAACAAATGAAGAGATAAAGAATAAGATATGAGTTGAGGAGAGTAACAGGTTCACAACATCCAGATTTATTTTTGATAATGGCCTAGCTCTCTTTCCAGGTATTTTTTTAATTTAGTGACGTAAAACTTTTGTTGAAGTGCCAACTTTTGTTGAAGAGACGTTGAAGCGTCTCTGGCGAGAGGGAGACAAAGCTTGAATCTCTCTCTTGCGCTAGGACCTTTAAAAAGGGGAGCAAACGGGCGTTTCAGAACCGACACGGGGCCTGGGGTTTCGTTAAAGCTTATAATAAACTCTGGTTATTCCCTCTCGAGCTCCGTGCTGGGCCCTTTGACGAATTCCAGATCGCTACGATGCTCAAGGAGATCCTGAAGGGGTTGGACTACCTGCACTCGGAGAAGAAAATCCACAGAGACATCAAAGGTGCGTAGAAAGAGGGAGGGAGGAATCGCCGCCCCCCCTTCGGACCACAGCGTCCCTTCTCTGGTTAAATGAAGTTTTCCTTCTCTTGTCCTCCCGACCAGCTGCCAACGTGTTGCTGTCTGAACAAGGAGATGTGAAGCTTGCAGATTTTGGGGTTGCTGGACAACTGACCGATACTCAAATTAAGAGGAACACCTTCGTAGGGACACCTTTCTGGATGGCCCCCGAAGTCATACAGCAGTCGGCCTACGACTCAAAAGTAAGATCCTTAGTAGGCCTCGGACGGCCTCTTTAATTTATGTAAGAACGTTGGAGTAGCTGGTTACCATCCAGAATTGCAGCTCATTGTGTAGTGGGATTTTTTAAAATACAGGTAGTCCTCGACTTACAACAGTCTGTTTAGTGACTGTTCAAAGTTACAACATGGTGTAAAGTTACAAGGCGGTGTAAAGTTACAACGCGGTGTAAAGTTACAACGCGGTGTAAAGTTACAACGCGGTGTAAAGTTACAACGCTGTGAAAAAAGTGCCCGTTTTTCCCACTTACGACCTTTGTAGCATCCCCAGGATGTTGTGATCAAAATTCAGATGCTTGGCAACTGGTTCAGACTTAGGCAGCGTCCCGGGGTTACGTGATCCCCTCTTACGACCTCCCGGCAAGCGAATTCAATGGGGAAATCCAGATTCACTCAACATATAAGTGTTCCTAACTTATCAACCGCAGTGATTCACTGAACGATCGTGGCAGGAAAGGCTGTAAAATTGAGCAGAGCTCACTTAACGCGTGTCTCACTTAACAACAGAAAATCTTGGCTCAGTTGTGCTCGAGGCCTGCCCGTATATGTCTTAAGTCTTCAAGGGGAAATTACCAGTCCCTAACGGTCAGGGGTGGGTGGGGGAGGGCAGCAAATAAGATTAATATACGAGTAATAAATAAATCGTTGATGGGACTGAATAAGAGGGCCAAGGAAGGCGTGACCCTTCAAAACCGCACTCGACTAAGCAGCGCCCGATTAAACCGCGTCACTGACGTCATCAACAAGGCGACAACAGCCAGCGCGGAGAAAGAAGGGCCCTTTAAATAGCGCTTTGAAAGCAAGCCGATTCAACTTAAGGTAAGGTTAAGGGTTAGGGTTAGGGTTAGGTTTAGGGTTAGGTTAAGGGTTAGGTTAAGGGTTAAGGTTAGGGTTAGGTTAAGGGTTAGGATTAGGTTTAGGTTAAGGGTTGGGTTTAGGGTTAGGTTTAGGATTAGGTTTATGGGGGTTAGGTTTAGGTTTAAGAGTTAATTTTAGGTTTAGGGTTTACAGCGTGCTTCTGTCTCCGCGCTATTGTCGCCCTGTTGATGACGTCAGTGACGCGGTTTAGTCGGGCGCGGTTTTGTGGTGGAGCCCAAGGAAGTCTGGATACCTGTTCCACCTTCTGACTTTTGTCTCTCAGGGAGGTTCAGCTTTTTCTCTCTCTTTTTTTGCCGTTCACGCCTTAAAGCTTTTAGGTGAAAAACTCTTGGCGCTTCTCCAGAAAAGACAAGCCAGTGCGGAGCCCAGAGGACAGTCTGCTGCTTAAACACAGAGACATTCTCCCCACGTAGTGAGTGAGCCACTCCTCAAAGCCAGATTTTAGCTAATTTCCGTGCAAACCCACAGAATTAAAGTGTAGGATTCACCTTCCCGCTGTTAGTGCAGGTCGCATTGTCCAATTGAACGTCAATGTATTGCTATGAGAAAAGGTCGTTGAGTTTGGCAAACCCCTGCTGAAGTGTCCTTGGCTCTCATGCTCATCTTCTCGATGTCCGGAGCCTACATTCCACCTCCCGCTTCCCTGCCCCATGATTCTTTGGCAAGCGGAAAGAAGCGACAATCGTCGCCACAACATAAGCGTGCTTCAAACTTGATAGTCCATCTTCCAGGCTTCCTGTTGACCTTAGTTTCACACACACACAACACACATACACACCCTGGGACCCATCAGGTCGGTTTGTTCTTCCCCAGGAGCAAACGTATCCGCAGTTTATCATAAGCCCCACTGCCCAGGTTATAAAAACTGAAGGGTGTTTACACATTGCGCGTGGTAGTTTAAAGGTTCTCCCGGAAACCCGGAAGAGCATCGACCCGCGTCACGTAATTCAAAGTTTGTGCTTTGAGGGAGAGGGGGGGGGACTCTCGACCTCATTCAAAATAGCCGGCCAGATAAATAGCTACGTATAAATAAATATAGAATTGTACATAAAAATGGATAACGAATAAGGGGGACCATGAACGCAAGATAGAAATGTATAGAAAGGGAAAACACTTAACTGCAAAGAAACCGATACGGAACTGCTGTGTGATATACGACGGAACTTCTTGTTCCTATGTTGCCTTAAGCCACGTGTTTGTTTTTTGTTGATGTGTTTATGTCTTTAAAATAAAAACTTATCCTCTTCTCTTGCAGGCTGATATCTGGTCTCTTGGGATCACCGCCATTGAACTCGCCAAAGGAGAACCTCCGAATTCCGACATGCACCCGATGAGAGTCCTTTTCCTCATCCCTAAAAACAATCCCCCGACCCTCGCTGGGGAATTCAGCAAACCCTTCAAAGAGTTTATCGACGCCTGTCTGAACAAGGACCCGACGTTTGTGAGTGTGTTTTTGGCTATTCCCTGGCCCCTGCGTCCAGGTGGCGGGGTGGGGAGGTTCCATCTTGGCGGGGATCTTCTTCTTGGGGGCTAAATGTATCACGATGCGTCGTCATGATTTCGAAGGCTGCCGTCTTCTCTGCACACAAAACGCAGCCGGATAAACCTTTCAAGCATTTTGTTGTGTTTTTTTCTGTGGCTTGGCTGAGGATTGTTTCGAGCCGCACAGGATGTTTGGAGCACGCCGAAGAGTGAATCAGATGAATTGGTTGGAGCTTAATTCTGAGTCAGATTCCAGATGAGACGTGTAATGAAAGTTTCACAAGGGAGTGTGGTTGGATTGGCAAAATTCCCGTCTCTCTCGGGAGTTAATGGCGGGGGACGGTTGTGGCAGACGCTTAGAAAACATCTGTTGACCCATGGAGGCCGGCGAAAGAACATTAAAACGTTTAGTCTAATCGTTGCTCTTGGCGAAGTTACTGTTCGGGCCAATGAAGGTTTGGGTCATTGCTCTGGAGTCCACGAAGAGTAGATTTGTTTAGATCTCTGCGGATTCACTGTTAGGATCCCAACTTCCAGAATGGTGGTTAGCATCAAGGTTTTAATTTTTTTTTATTTAAAAAAGCAGATTTTTAATTGTTTTTCCCCCCTCTACAACATCTTATAATCATCACATTAACATTGTTCTGTCATCATACCTGTATATATCAATCTTATATCGCTTCTGTATTTATATACATTCACCTACAATTCTATACCTTTCTCTATTGTTTCTCAGCTGAATTAACTTTATTCCTATTAAAATGTTTTTATTTTCCATTTTTCATTTTCATACAGTCACATATATACTGTGCATANATCCAAGGCTCAGGTGCCACCTGGTGGCCAACCAGTCTCTCTGTGCCCTGCTCAGAGTCGGAACCCTGTCCAGAGTCCGCCACATCCTCCAGGGCCGACTCATAGGGCCCCTCTCTGTCGGAGTCTGGTGGCAGCTCCAACGGCTCCTGCTGGGCCACAACACATATGTATTTGTGTGTTTGTGCGTGTGTGTGCATGTGTGCACATACAGTAACAAGTCTACCAGACTTAATTTTCCGCTCTTCAAGAAGATCTAAACTGTTACAGGTTGACTATTCTTAGATGTCCTCTCACTCTTACCTTAGACCCACACTTGATAATAGTGAAAATATTATATATGCCTATTAAATCATGATTTAATTGATAGTAATGGATGTTGGTAATGGATGTTAATAAATACTGAGCTTAGCTCAAAAAAAAAGAGAGAGAGAGATTTCAATGACTTATGTAGAACAGAGAACACAAAACAGGGTTTGAAAATGTAGCTTTCCTTACTAGTGCTTTAAAAACAAAAACAATCTTAAAAGTGGCATAAAAGGATATGCAACAAGTTCCTGGATTAAGAGCACCCCAGTTTAATTAAGAATGGAGTTTATTGTAGCAAAATTCAAGTTAAATATACAATGATTAAAATTAAATACACAATGGTTCAAGTTCATTATATCATCTATAGTAGTATTCAGTACAATTATTCTACTTTGATTTACATACAGATTTGACTTAAAGACAAACCTCGGGAACAGAACTTATTCTTAATTTAGGAACTACCCATAATTTTATATGCTAACAGATATTACTATTTTTGCCATTTGAATTTGACAAAGAGGTTTGAATTTTTTTTTAATGCATGATTTGGGACAACTATCTATGAATACCCTTTCAGACAAACTGATATCTTTGTTGTAAGTCAGTTCATTTATATTATATTTTCTTATATGTATTTGTACTGCAAGGACTACAAAAACTGTTGTGTTTGGACCATGGCAACTGTGGGGTGTCAATCAACACCAGCGGTTGCCAGGATTGGCTAAGATGTGTAGGCGTTGTCAGCAAGACCTAGCGTTGTTCTAATTGGTTGCACAGCTGCACTATAAATAGCTGTGAAACCGGAGTTGCTTGTTCTGTTCTGTCAGTAGTTGCTGTTAACAATAAACATGTTCTGTTCCTGCACAATTTGCCTCAGTGAATCTCCTTCAGCTGAGAACACAATAAAAACTATAAAGAGATATCCAGGGGTGTGTTCCAGCAGGCACCACTGCCCATTCGCACTTGTGTGCGCTTGATGTGCACTGCGTGCATATGCGCAGTGCAATTAAAATTGTTCTGCGCATGCACATAAGTGAAAAACAAGATGGTGCCATTGATGGTGCTGACTGGGGAACTGGTTCCGGGGGGGGCAATTCCAGCAACCCAGGCAGCCAAACCACTACCGAGGTGGCACAGTGGTTAAATGCAGCACTGCAGGCTACTTCAGCTGACTGCAGTTCTGCAGTTCGGCTGTTCAAATCTCACCGGCTCAGGGNAATTGTATAATAATAATAATAATAATAATAATAATAATAATAATAATAATAATAATAATAATAATAATAATAATAATAATAATAATAATAATATGGTTAAAAAAAGTGTTGGAATCTTGGCAGTTTATTGATAGTCAAACTATAACAGGAGTCTCCAAACCAAAGAAATTTTGGCAGCCATCTATATCTCCTGTGTTTGTGCTTTCTCTTTCTCTCTTCTCTAAAGATCACTTCCAATTGCTCCTTCACTTGCTTTCAGTCCTTGCAACCCACTCTCAGCTTTGCAAGCTACTCTCTACTGCAGGGGTGTCAAATCCCTGGCCCACAGGTTCCTTACATCTGGTCCGTGGTGCCATTCTGGAAACAGAGGACCCCCCCCCCCCATGCCTCTGCCAGCAAAAACAGAGGTCTGTTTTTATTGGCAGACCACTCAGGCCACCACAGGCACCCCCAGCACAAGTGATGTTGAGCTGGCCATGATCATTATGGCCACAACCACTTGGCCTCCAGGGTCAAACATAAGCCCATAATGAACTCCAGTTTTATATCCCTGCTCTATGGGTTTAGGCAAAGTTGCTCTATTTCTGTTAGGATCATCCTAACCCATGCTTTCTTTCAGAGTAATTCCTTCCCTTCCATGCACACACAAACTCACTCCTCTGCCCATCATTCTTGCAAGCGTATCTCCCGCTTGTCCATTTATCATGCATAGAAACATATAGACATCTTTCCACCATCATCTCACTTTGTTTTACCTGCTTTGGCAATTCTGTTTTTCCTTCCCATGTTTTCCTCTGCTTCAGATCCTCGATTTCTCAACACCTGTTTTTTTCCGCTGTCTTCAAAGAAACAGCTTAACCAAAGGCCATGCTGCATGGTTTGCTTGCCACATATCTGGATTTGTTTCCACATATATGGACAATGCCAGATTGAAGGACCCTCCCTTCAAGGAAGGAGAGAAGAAAGAAAGGCAGCTTTTTCTCTTGTGAGAAACAAGAGGAATTGGGTTTTCCCCCTATTTTGATTGGAATGATCATATCCAGAATATTTTGTGAACAGCAGGAACTATGCAATTTTTTAAATGTTCCAAACAATCACTATGATTGTCAGATGCTTACTTCTTTGTCTTCTATTTTTCTTTATGGGGGTTCTTCCATCTCTTTTGTTGTCCACTCCCCATCAGCTTTCACTGAAGCTTGATAAACTTTGTAGCATCTGGAATCACTGAACAGTGATCAATGACTTGTGTTGTTCAGTGTTCAGCCATTGATCACAGAAGAGATAGGTGCATATTTGGAAAGCCATGGCAAACAGCTGCTTCTGCTTTGCTTGCCAACTTCATCTCTTTTTTTTGTTTTTGTTTTCTTTGTTTGTTTTAGATTCCCTAAGGGTCTGGAAAAATCTGGAAGCAAGATAGTTGTCTAATTTAGTCAGGGTTGTATAGTATTGTTTTATTGACATTGTTTTCCTGACCTTCCACATATATTATAAAAGCACAATCCACCACATGAACATGTCAGATGGTTACAAGGACACAAATGAATTCACTTTTGCAAGTAGCAGTAAATGGTTTAGTTTCAGAACACCCTTCATAGCCTCTTGCCCTCTAGATATGTTGAGATTCCCAATATTCACATTCAAGAAAGTCCTCAAGACTTTTCTTACAACATTTTACTAGTGTCTACATGCTACTCTCCATTTAATTTTCTTTTCCAAGTTACTGATGTTATGTTCTTAAAAGACCCTGGTCTTCAAAGGTCTATGAACCAAAGAATTCCCAGCGCAGAAATAAAAAAATATATTAGAGTAACATTTTAAACTAAGCAGGCTCTATGATTACTGAACTTTACAATGAAAAGCACCTTTCAGAAATCAACCTCTTCGTAAGTTAGTGTAGGGTTCACAGAACAGGCTAAGTATAAGACTCTAGCTTCATTCTGAGAGCATAACTATAAAGGTGAGTATCCACTATGAATGAATGAACGCACACACATGCAAAATGAATTGATGGTTTGGTTATATTAAGAGAATGAATTAAGATCAAATTGAAAACATATATGTGAAGGAAGAATAAAAGCATCAAGAGGAAGAAAACCACTGAAAAATAGGTACACTTGATAAGAGAGAAATGAGAAATTTAAACAACAAATGGCAATGTATGAATCAGAGCAGCGATATAGGAGAAACAGAAATACAAAAGTGTGAAGAAGTATAGTAAATGATGTTAGTGAAAATGAGTCTTTCTGAGCATGTTTGATTTCTTAACATTATATTTCCTATTCTTTGTTCCATGTGCTGCATAATATTTAATTAAAGGTAAGGGCATGAGGCGTATGCATATATGGATGTGTGGCACAATGTGCATGCCCCTTTATTTATGCCAATATGTATGGTCAAGTATGCGAAACAAAAATCTACTAATCTCACACTTTTGTTGAAATTATTTTGAATGTTAGCTTGATTTTGCATCATCAAATCGGTGTCGGCTCTTACCAACCACACAGAGAAACCTTCAAGAAGAGAACCTTGGCTTACATTCAATTAGTGAGTACATTGAAAAAAATCATGAGATTTCAAGAAACATGTTAATATTTGTTCTTTATTGTTCTAGCTACTGTGTTTCCCTCAAAATAAGACAAAATATTATTTTCTTTTGATCCCTGAAATAAGCACTTGGCCTTATTTTCAGCGAGGTCCTATTAATTTTGAGGTGCAGGAGACAACAAGTGTGATCACTTCATGGCTGTTGCTGTGTTGCAATATTTTCAGGGAGGCCTTATTTTCAGAGGAGGGTTTATTTTAGCATATGCGCTTATTATCCATGGAAGTCTTTATTTTCAGGGAATACATATACATACACACACACACACACACACACACACAGACAGACAGACAGACATATTATGTTGTATTTGTGCTGATAAATAAATAAAG